AATCCCCACTTCCCTGTGAAAGAGCAGCCCTTCTGCTCTCTTTTGGAGTAGATAGGAGGGAGCAGAGTGGATTTAGCCATGAAGATGATAAAGAAGATATCTAAATGTCATCGCTATGCAGAACCTTTTTTGGGGGAATCAAACTGATGGTTTCCCCCAAGGTTATTTTCAGTGCTTTTCTGTAGTCCAGATGCAATAGTAAGTGGGTTCCAAGTTGGCATCTGAGCCTAGGCCCCTAGGCTCTGATATATCACACATACTGAACCAAAAAATTACGATACCCTCCCATAAAGCAGTGTTTTCTTTTTTCCTCTTGCTGGGCAACAGGGAGCTCAAGCAATAGGAGAAAATAAACTAACTCTCAAGCTGGTTCTGCCACTTTGTACTTTAGTATTCTAAAATATGAGCCCCCAAAGAGAACTTAAGGGTTGATGCTGAGTCTCTGGGAGGTTAGTAAGAGAACTTAAGGGTTGATGCTGAGTCTCTGGGAGGTTAGTTTGCTCAAGATCATGTAGGTGGGTAAAGGCAGAGCAGAGCTGGGATTGGAACTCAGGACACTTGAGCCCCAGCTCTGCTTTCTGTGCCTCCTCTTTTGTGCCTGAGGAGGGCAAGGGCCTTCTCTGGGAGATCTTGTCTGTAGGGGCCACTGGCTGGCCCAGGGTATGAGCCTTGTCTTTAAACAGTGGATAAGTCATACAAAGGAGGACATGGCACATAGCTTGTGATTTTAGGGAGAGATAGAATTTCCTCATTCATTTAAAAAATTACATTCTGAAGGCTGCAGGCAACAACGATTGATAGCAAGGGAAATGGCCCATGAGATCCCAGGGAAGCCAAGGAAAAGATAGAGATTGAAAAATTTGCCCTTTACCAAAAGGATAATCCAACAGGGAGTTGGTTCTGATTATTCTCTCTGCAGGACTCATTATGGGGAGTGACATCAAGTGCAGAGATAGCAAATACAAAACGCTGTGCTGCTGCCTCCTGTCACTGTGCCCATGGTAGATGCTGCTAACAGAAGCATCACTCTTCTTCAGTACAGAAGGGTGTCTCTGGGAGGTAAGTTTGCTAAAGGTCATGTAGGTAACTCATGTAGCTCTTGGTAACTGAGATGCAACTTCCCTGCCCTGGAGACCAGCTGGAGAGAAGATCCTATGGATGGCTTGAGATGGGAGGAGCCAGTCCAGGTCTACAAAGCACTATCACTAACCTGGCTGGACCAAGACTGTTTTTTCCCCCTGCTGTTTCAGAAACGCCAGGGAAAGTCCTTCTTCCTCATTGGTGTTCTTCAAACCTTGGCTTTGTAGAGGTCACAGAACAAAAACCATGGTGATGCTCTTTATACTTCTTATTTGTAGTCAGAAAGGTCTTTCCACAAATTAGAGGCCCTGTAATGGCTGCGTTGCCTCTGTTTGGGGATGGAAGAGGTCTGCTGGTCCTTGTCCTTCCCCAATATGCTTCTTGCTACCCATCTTCCGAGCTCTGTCCTGGAATTCTAGAATGGAAGGTGGCACAGGAAGGAAGTGATGCAGGAGCTTTTCCTGGAGCTTTCATCCTGTTACCTCACGTTTACATCTTCCTAAGCCTTCCCTTTAATCCCATGTCTCTAGTCTTTCATAAGAGATCCAGTTGTATCCATCCAGATAAATTCCCCTGTGTTCTCAGCTGCTAAAGACGCCTTTTTGTAGATGAAAATGTCCCTTGTCCTGTCAGGATGCTAGTTTATATCCTTGAAGACAGTCCTCTTCGGGTGATTGGTGGGGAAAGGCCCCGTGGGCCAACAGAGAAGCAGCTGCCTGAGTCAGGACTGAAAGGGGAATGGAGACAGAAGAGCAGCTTTGACTTAAATTGTGAACAAAAATGTTTTCCTTCCCCGACCTATTTTCTGTCAACCTTCAGTATGACCTACATATGGAGATGGGATGTTAGAGCAGCAGAGGGCGCTGCAAGGTCAAAAACAAAGCTGCCCACCTCAAAGGACGCTGGGAGAAAAGTTCCTTTACCGAATGACTGGCTTGAGCAAGACCCAGGCTGTGGAACAAGGATGGTTTTGATCAACCCCATAGGCTCCACCCTAACTCTAACTGGTAATTTGGGCTAATGAAAGGCAGCCCTGCTTCTCAGCGGGTGAAGGTGCTGGCAGGACACCTGGTCCCTTGAGTCACACTGGCCGCTGGCCATAGAGTAACACACTTAAAGGAGAGAGGCTAGTTTTGAAGGATAAGTAAGTGTGTAATGAGTTACCAAACCTCAAAGGTCTCTCCTACCCCTATATTTCGGGGTAAATGAGTTATACCACAGTTGTGACTTTTGGGAGACCTAAGATCATTTGACTTGAAAGCTTATTTCTCCTGTTCTTCATACTCTTCAGGATGAGAAGGGCACAGCTGGCTCTTCAGATCTCCAGGGAATATAGCACTTTACGCCTCTGTGTTTGTAGCACTGGGAGCAAATTAAAGATGTGAAGTGTCTTTTCATTTTTTTAAATTGTTGATTGATGCAATATGTCTTTTGCCAGATTTCACAACTTTACTTTTTTATATTTACTCAGCATCTTTTCTTTGAATAGCTTTGATGAGAATAATGCTCTTTGGAGCTATATTCATCTGTCTATTTGATAAAATTGATAATAGCAGCAACCATCCCTAGTATTCATAGGTCATTTACATGCTGAGTGTATTGCATGTGTGATTTCATTTTATTTTCCAATACTCCTATAGAAAGGCTATTGTTATTATCTGCACTCTTATAAATGGAGAAATTGAGGCTGGGAGGGGTTAGGGCACATCTAAGATCATACAGCAAGTCAGTGCTAGAAGGATATGAACCAGGAAGGCTGGCTCCAGAAGCGTGCTCAGCTATGACCTTGCTTGGCTTTCTGAAAAGAGCCTTTCCTAAAGGGAGGCCATTGAAGGAATGCTGGGAGGACACCAGGGAAGAGAGGTTTCTGATTTTGCCACTCCAAGTGGCACTCAGGTTCTGAAACTTTGTATGAAGGGGACAGGATGTGAGCTGAGTGAGGATGCTTGAAGTCCATGTCTCTTCTCTCGGATGTGTCAGACGTAACTGAGGCTGGGTGCATAGAGGAGGAGTATCAGTTCAGCTTGAAAAGTTTGCTTGTCCAGTTAAGAAAGGGAGCCCTCAGCCTAGCGTAAATAGCAAGCCTGGGTAGGGACTGAGCAGAATCCATGGTTTGGAAGACCTGGAAAGGGCCTATCCATTAATAGCCTCTGCTTAGGAGGGTGGCCCCTGTCCTGAGCATTTCTCTTCCATATCCAGGGGGGCCGGAGATGCTCATATTAGGACTTTAGCCCACATGATATTTCCTTTTGGAGTCCTCCATGTGTAGGTTTGCCAGATAAACTACAAGATGTCTTGTGAAATTTAAATTCCACATTAACAATGAATACTTTTTAGTATAACCATGCCACAATATTGCATGTTTCAAATATTCTTTAAAACTTTGTACTTTATTTGAAGTGTACATTTAACTGGGTGTCCTATATTTTTATTTGTGAAATATGGTGATCTCATCTGTGCTAGTGGTGAATTTTTCAGTGCAGAAAGTTGCTTTGCTTTATAGCAAAAACGTTTATTGATCGTCTGTTAGGTGGCAGACACAAGCCTACGGGCTGGGAATGTTCAGTGAAAAGACAATGCCTTTAACTTACTGAAGCTTCTGTAATGGTGTGTGTGTGCGTGCGTGCGTGCGTGCGTGTGTGTGTGTGTGTGTGTGTGTGCGTGCGTGCGTGCGTGCGTGTGTGTGTGTGTGTGTGTTTCAGGAGGATGTGTTGAAAGGGAGAAGGAATAGATGCATAAATCTAATGATTTCAGATGGCAATATGAGGGGGAAACATGAACAGACAAGAAATTGAGGATTTTCTTAGCATTAATTTTTTTTGAAATTCTGTATTATTTCTACCCTTTTTTTCTGTTTTGCTTTTTTTCCTCTTTAAATAAATACAAAAAAAAAAAAAGAAATTGAGGAAGATGATGGGAGGTGGGAAAGTACTTTCCTTGGATTGCTCAGTGTTTTTGAGCTGAGATTTGTAAAAAACTGGGATCAGAGTTTTTGGCAGCTTAAAAAGTGAGCAGATAGAGGACCAGAAAGGAGACAGCCGTGTGTGAGAGGGAGCAAGAGAGCAAAGAGCAGAGGTAGGTGAGGCTGGGAAGGAGGCCGAGGATTTACATGGCATCACATGATCTACAGAAACCTGGAGAATGGATTTTCTAGGGACAAGAGCAAAGGAAGGGACCTTAAGGGAGCTGTTACAGTGGTCCTTGCAAGAGCCAGCGATATTGACAGGAAGTGGTGGCAGTGCAGACTGGAGAAGTAGTGGACTGAAGATACAGTTTTATGATAGAACAGATGGGTCTTACTGATGAGGAGGACACAGAGAAAAGGAAGATGAAGGAACTCTTACAGACACTCTCAGGCTAGGGAAATGACTTAGTGTTCTCAAGAGCAATGCCGTGGAAAATTGTATTTCTATGGCACGTGGCTGGGAAGGCCTGGCTCAGGAGTTCTGGCCGCCCCAGACACAGCGATCCCCCTGAACACTATCTCAGCAAGCCGGTAACCCACTTTTGGCAGTTCACCCACCAAAGCTCTGCTTTGATTAAGAATCTTCCAGTGGGGGCCAAGTGTGTGCTGTACAGGGCCCAATGAGAGAAGAGGAGTCATGCTACTGAAACGTCTTCCTCAAGTGTCTGAAATTTAAGATTTCATGAGCTTTATGTTAGGACAGAGCTTAGAAACAATCTTTCCCAACCCCCTTCTCTCCTCTTTATCCAGAAACATACTTGTTTATTCAATTTATTAAGTACTACAAAGTTACTCATTCAAATATTAGACTTATTGAGGTCTACAAAGTATATGCGACTAAGTTGAGTGCCATGAGACAGGATGCTCGAGTGTGATTGGTGGTTTGACCAGTCCGTCACCAGAGGCTGCAGAAACAAAGCAAACTGCTCTCATAGCAACTGGATATCCAAGTTCCTTCTCTCCCTTTCTTCCTCCCTTTTTCTCCTCTTTTCATCCTTCCTTTCTTTTTTCAGAGAGGGAAAACAATTTTCATTGTTAAAAGCATTAGGTCAAGACAAACCAGCATCACCATAAGCAGCCATTTCCTCGATGGAGACTTTGCCCAAGGGTTACAGCTGAGACAGTCACGTGGCTGCCCGGGCTGTCTGCTCCCCACTATTGCTATTTCCCTCTTGTCTCCTTCCTGTCATAAGCCATTAGATAGCCTCAGAGATTTCAGAAACCCCGTTTTAGTCTATATCTTCTGCCCTCGTACAAAAACAAGATGATTCTTATCTTGGGCTTCAGCCTTTTATTTTTCTGTAAGTGGATTCATTTGCTGACCTGCTTCTCATTCTGTACCTAATTCCCCTCCTCCATCCTGGTTCCCTTTCTCTGATTTGGAAGAGTTGGCCTCTTTGTCTCTTCCACTTGATTTTTCAGTCATTCTCTGCTTTAAACTGTCGTATTTTGTCCTTTCCTTTTTTCTCTCCTTGAGTTCCTCTGTGCTGGGCCTGTGTTGGGCTCAATCCCTATTTTCTTTTTTTCTCTTCACAGGTAAAGATACAGTGTGTAACACATTGACCCAGAGACCCCTGGACCAGATGGTGGAAAGTGGCAGCGAGACAACGTTGTTCTGCACCTATAGTACTGAAATCTCAGATCCAGATTTGTACTGGTACCGAAAAATGGCAGATCAGTCCTTGCAGTTCATCCTTTACAGAGATAATACCAGATCTCTTGATGCAGATTTTGTTCAAGGTCGATTTTTTGTGAAGCATAGTCAGACCCATAAAACTTTCCACTTGGTCATCTCCCCTGTGAGGATGGAAGACCAGGCGACTTACTACTGTGCTTTAAGTTCCCACAGTGATACAGGTGCTTGGGGAGTCTGCACACAAACCCCTGGGCACAGCTCGGCAGAGCCACCTCCAGGGTGATGTTATGTCCTGGGCCTGGTTTCTTTCTCTCAGTCATCTGGGGGGCTAGCCTGGCCTTTAGAAGTGCCCAATGTGACAACTGATTAATCAAAAGCCCACTTATATCCAGGGAACACTCTGGCTTCCAAAGAGCAGAGTATCTCCCACTTCTGACCCAGTGGGCCCTCACCCCCTGAGCACCTTGTGATTGGCAATGGACAGGTGCAGGGCTGAGTGTGCACTGTCTTTGTGTTCTGACATTGTGCTGTGTTAGCCACGAGGGTGTCAGAACGGTGCAGGGGAATGGTGTGGGGCCAGTCATAAGAGTGGCCATTGGCAGGGTTTTTATTTTAATCTCCATCATCATTTATTCATTATTGTGAGTTGGCCTGTTTTCATCTTTCAAACCAAGTTGGACACAGAGTTAGGAAATTAAAAAAATTAAAATTAAAAGTTTTTCTAATTTACCTTTTGTCTACGTCTTAGTATGTTTAGCTACCTTACTACCTCTGGGTGTCCTCTGATGCTTGTGCTTTTCTTACTTTACCTGGAGAACATTTTCCTTTCACTGAAGAATATCAAGGCCCTCCTTGATAGCTGTCTGTGAATCCCCGAATCCCAGTTCTCCAGGCCCATGTTTGGAGTGCAGCGGTGTCTCCAGAGGGGGCATTTCCTCCAGGGAAAACCAACTGAGTGTTGCTGGAACAGTGTACCTTGGTCTTTTGGACTCAGTCTTTCCTTTCATTTTTACTGACTTCTCTGCCCTGACAGACTATTAGAGTTATTTGACACAATCTTAGAAACAGAAGAGGCACTGACATTGTTTTACAGGGAAGTGAAGATAGATGCAGAGTCTTACGGCTGGTTAGGACTGGAGATAGAGGTTTGGTGCTTCACTTCCATGGCTCTCCTGGCTGCTACAGCCTAGGAGGTTTTCTCCACAGGCATTTTGGGTGACAGTTTATCTTCACATCATAAATAATGGGTGTAGCTGGGCTAGGTGGTGCACACCTATAACCCCAGCATTCTGCCAGCCTGAGGCAGGAGGATTCCATCTTTGAGCCAGGTCTGGGGAACTTAGTGATTTAGTGAGACTAACTAAGTGAGTTACAAAATAAAACTCACTTAGTGAGTTACAAAATAACTAAGAAGGACTGGAGATGTTGCTCAGTGCAAAGTTCAAGAGTTCAATTCCCAGTAATCCCCTCCTCCCTGAAACTGGTTGGAGAGTACCCACAATAGGGAACAACAGAAGGACCATAGGGTGAGGGGGCCTCAGGACCTGGGCAAATAGCCCAGAATCCTGGGGCTTCTGTTTTTCCACCTACTGAGTGTGTCACACAGCCATTGATGGTCCCATGTGTAATGGCTCCCGATCTGAAGGAAGCCAAATCTCCCCTGGCTCCTGCCTTAAATCTTTTCTGGAGGTTCCTTTTGGTAGGAGAAATTAATAGTCCTCTGATGTACCAGGGTGTCTGAATGCTGGCACACAGGCCAGAGGGTAGCTCCTTTGCTGCTGAGTATAGGACAGTCCTGAAGTTTGGCCCAGCTGACTGACACTGTCTTTACTTTGGGGATGCAGTGTGCTCTTGGAGCAGGAACTTTGACCTGATACTCTTGAGATCTTGGTTCTGTTTCTGGCAATACTCTTGCTTCAAAGAATAACTTTACTCATGGTGCATACTTTTTGAGTGGGGACAGCTTTTTCCATCTGAAAATGAAAGATCTTTCTATTCCTAGCAATTTCAGAGAAATATTCTGACAAACAAAAGGGAACTGAATCCAATATTTGAGAAACCAGCGTTCTTTACACATGCAAGGTGAAGTTGCGTGGGACTGTTTGCCCTTGAGTGGAACTGGCGTATCCGTGTAGATGTCTCTAAATCCAGCATTTGCTCACAGTGGTCCTGCCTTCTCTCATTAGGTTGTGAATACACTATGTGGAAGTCTGCAGTCAGCAGTGGCAGGGGAATTTGTGAGAGTCATTTTCTCACTTGTAATGTCATAACCCCCTGCTTCTCACCCATGGGAGCTAAGGAAACCACAATGTGAGGTTGCAGGGGCCCTTGGGCAGAGCTGTGGCCTTGCTGAGGTGGGAGTTGCAGGCTCCAAGCTGCACAAGCTGCTGATTATTGCTGTAATAATAGCAGCTGCAGCAGCAGGAAACCAGAACTGCGTCCCCCAGGCGAGAGCCTCAGGCTTGGGGCCCAGGAAGCCGCAGTGTGACCTATAAGCTCAGTGTGGCTTTTGGCTGACTAATATGAGTTCACAGCGCTGACTTTCCCCCCATGGTGGCCCGCAATGAGTAAAGCCAGAGGCAAGGTGCACACAGTGCGGTTTAATAAATGCAACAGAGACAGGGGCTAAGAAAGAGGGCCCAACACATCAAAGACCCAAGCAAAAGCATCAGTGTCCAATGATCTCTAACTCCCTCCATACAGATTGGCAGGCAAAAGACAATAAAGATACTGTTTTTTACAGGGAAAAATAGAAGCCTCATTTCTTTCCCTCTAAAAAATGCTTGCACAGTGAGATGCTTAAAAGCAGGACCTATGTCCTTCTCATCTTCGTACCTCAGTACAGTGCCTGGGACTCAGAGTCAGTCCATGAATGTTAAAACAATTAGCAGAAACAAGTGCTTTTCCTCTGTATTTTGCTCTGATCTTTGCTAACGGAAAGGACAAGTGCTAGTGAGATTTGAGAAACCCCGTTGCCTGCTTAAAGAGTATAATTTTGTAAAGTATCAGGAAAAGAGGAAAGCACCAACATTGTCCCTGTCCCCTCACTGCTGTGTAATATCTCCAGTGGCTGCTGGAATGAATGCAGAGGTTGGATGAGCCGCACGAGAGAAGATGAGGATGGCTTCTTGGGTGAAACTAGTGCTGGTTTGGGCAGAACCTGCCGTGTGTAGATAAAAGGACACCTGCTCTCCTCCTCTCAGGGCCAACTTTCATTATAGACATTGAAGCAGGGACCTGTTAGCTCCAACTTGCTACTTTTGGAAAGAAAGAGTGAAAAATAATGATGTATTATTTTTCACTGTGTATCAGTTGTAGGAATATAATAAAATAGGCCCTATATTTTTATGTCTATTCATCCCTGCATAAAACAGCATATAAAGTAGTTAGAATCATAACCCCCATTGCCAAGGACATTTGTTTTCTACCAGATTGAAAGATGAGCTGGGTTTGTTGTCTTCAGTGGGAAACTGATTTAAATAAGGTGGTGACAGGTCGACCTGAATCACCAAGAAATCAGAAGCCTAGGAGACAGCATCTTTTATGCTTTTGATTTCCACCAGTGAGCGTAGCTTCCTCATGCCAGTCAATCTGTAAGTGAAAGAAAGTCATTACAAAATCACAGACCTAAAGGCTAGAAGGGCTCTGTAGCTCTGATATTGCTTGGGATGGCTGGTACCCACTGCACGGTACCACAGCAGACTTCACAAATCAGCAGTGGCACCTGGCCTGGTATACGTGGCCTGGTAATTCAGCTATTGGTAGAGTCTATCTGTATTGGCACAAGCTATGAAACCTATTTGCTCCTGTAGTCGCTCTCAAACTCAGCCTAGAGAAGGGAAACAATCTTACTAAGGCAACATAGTGAGCAAATGACAAAGTTAAGACTGAGACGTGGCTCTCTGACTCCTTACACAGCGCTATTTGTATAACCACGCTGCCTGTGTTCCCGGGACTGTTAGTACAGTACTGTTAATACAGTCCTGGGAGCTGGACAGCCATGTATGAATGACTGGGTATTTTACAGTCTGGGTTGACCAGGCCAATACTCTGTTACAGAGTTGTTTCTAGAACAGAAATTAGGACTGATGGATATTTGGGGGCATTTGGAAGGGAGTAAGGGGGAGGAGGTTCGTAAGCCCTGGTTTGAATTCCATCTAGAAGATTGTCTAAAAATGGAATATAAATAGTGGGAAAATAATTAACATCTCTGTCTCATCTTTGCATGTGTCCTGGGTAGCTAACAGAGTTGTTCACTACTAATGGTGGTATAAGTTAATTCCCAGGATAGGCTGGTCCACACATCAGACTTTATGATTAAGGAATGGTACCTGGTATCTCCTTTATCTGGATAAAGATGAATTCTGCATTTCCTGAGCATTATTCTAACTAAGTTTCATTTAAAGTCTTGCAAATAACCCATGGTCCCTTGGCCAATAAACAAAAGAACTGTTAAAAAAGACTAATTCTCCTTATTTTCTCCTTGGGCTGGAGTTGGTGGTTATTACCTGGTATATTAAAAAGAGATTACCTTATAGTACATAATGAGCTTTGAGTCTGGTTCAAAATAAAAGAATAACAGGATGTGGGATGTTATGTCTGAGATAGCCTGCCTTATTAATTCTAAATGTGTTGCTTTGCATTTTTTTCTCTTCCAAATACTTTTTGCTTTCTTACCATTTCTAAATCTCTTTTCTCCATGTACAGCATAATTTGGCGGATACAGGACTAAGTAGCAGCTAATTTTTACCTTAAAAGAAAAATAGCTTGGCAGTCAAGACAAAATTTATGGCCACGCTCTTGACAAACAGCATTCGCAGCCCCAGCACTGTGAGAGACATCATGTTCATCGTCGGGATATAAACTATGGTTGAACAAGAGAAAAGATGGTAAATTCAGGGAAAGATCAAACTCCTTTCTAAATATTAGGCTTACAACACTGTGACCAGCATGCTCCAGATCACCCTGCTTGTCCTGGGAACCCCAGCTTGGTGCCAGGTGCATTCAGAGTCCTTGGAGTGCTGCTTGCACCTAGCGAGTGAGCTTTGGAAACACAAGCTTGCAGCAGGTGGGCTCTGCTGGGACAGTCGGGCACGAAGGGGGCCAACTGGGCTCAGCATGGTTACTGTTTTCTTTTGAAATCTAATTCTTTTTAGTCTCTGTTTATAATTATGGTGCCTCAATTGTGAACTTCACCCTGTGAGTGGAACTAACCTTTTGGTTCATGGCAGGTCTTTTCAGGTTGGTTCCTGTTTGCAGGTTCAGTTTGTGTTCGAAAGTCTGAAAAAAACAGCAGTGGTCAAAGCTATGTTGACAACCAGGGGACTCAGGATTGTAGGGTTTTAAAACTAGAGGAGACTTTAGATAAGTAAACTGGGGACCAGAGAATATAACTTAGTTAGGGTCTAGTCATGATTATGTAGTTAGCATGCCTCCTGGTCTGGACTTTCTGGGTGCCACAGAGACACTATCCAGACATACTACAATACGTAAGTAGGACTAGGATTTTTAACTGAGCTGCTCTTTCTTTGGACTAGATGCACCAGGAATTTCAATGCCAGATCCTACTATAGGATGGCATCTCCTTTATTGAAAGAGATAGTTGTTGGTGAAGAGGAGAGAGGGGGGGATAAATGAAATGGGATTTGTCTTAGATTCCAACAAGGGGTGAAGGCCATTTTCTTCCCAGTCACTAATGAGGACCCTAAATCTTTTTTCCAGAATGATGCTAAATTGAGAATGATGATCTACCCAGAGTCTACATTTTTAGCTTCTTTCCCCCTCAAATTTCCTTCTTCATTGTCTCCAGACCCTTGAAGTCAGATACCTACCTGATGAAGTTGTCTTCACTTCGAAGTCAGTGGAACTCACGGTTTCATTGTTGAGCTGAACTGAACATGTTACTGAATTTGGATCTTCGTACTGACCAAGCTTGACAGCACTGTACTTCCCGCTGGGAGAGACGACAACCGCAGGTTCAAATTCCTTTACCTTATTAGATGATACGAGATTTATATTTATGTTCTTGGGATAGAAATCCTTCACCAGACAAGCAACTTTTGTTCCATTTTTCATGACAAAAACAGATGGTTTGGAAGGAGGCTGAATTCCTGCAAATGAGATCAAATTATTTCATCAGATGATTACAGCTTTGTGAGAGTTTAACAGTGGTGATTATCTCAGTTTTTCTGGGTCAAACAGTAAAAAAAAAAGGGCCAAACACTACAATCTAGAACCCCTGCATCTTGTTGGTGGCCTTGGCTTGTTAGTACCTCCATAAAATAATAATCATTCCAAGGTGAATGAAGGACAGTTAGTTTGACTTCTAGGTTTAGAAGGCACAAAGAGGAAGTGGTGGAGCAGAGGTGCAATATAACAGCTACGAAGAAGTTTCTGGATTAGGGTGGCTGCTCGTGCTGTGCATTATGCCAGTGAAAGAACTGAGGATCACAAAAGGCCTGCAAAACTGGTTCAAAGGCTCTGAGGATGGCAGTGTCACAATCACTGCAGGTGTCACCCCTTTTCAGGGGCAGAAGGGCTGGCTGAAGCTAAGCAGTATATCACTTTGTCATTAGGTGAATACTTATTCTTTTGTAACAGGTTGGCTATTGTACAATTTCCCTTGAATCTTTTAATCAGAAGAAACAACTATCATTCTCAGAAAGTACTTGTAGATGTAAAACGGGTTTAAGCCCACTTTTTGCTGTCTTACTCTGAGAGGAGTTGTGGAATGTTGGTCCTAGTAATTGGGCTCCTTCCTGTCTTTGTCTTCTTTTATGCCTTACCTTGAACTGCTATCTATCTGCTACTTTGTATGCATCTTTCTCTCTCCTTAAAACTGAAATTCTTGAAACTTTGAAGAAGGTAGTAATGATTTTTTCACACTGTGCTTCATCGAAGTTTCTGAATTGTGATAAATTTTGTGTCCTGGAGACTAGGATTCTCAGACTGTCTTCAAATGATTGCTAAGGAAAGAGCCTTGCTTGTCTCTGAATCAGGAGAGACAATCAACGCGTGAAAAGTGATCTGGATATATTTTCAGTCTTAAGCTTCATTTCTGGTTTTCAGTCTTAATTGCTCCTGTGAACATGGCTCTTAGCATTTGTAACTTTGGAGATTTTTAGCTTCTTGGAATGAAATGAAAACTACGCTGAATTCTAGCAGACTTTATCCTCTTTGGTTTACAGTCAAGACATTAAGTGCTACTAAAGAGAAAGTTTGGTAATGAATGTGTAAACAGAAAAGAAATGATAGTTCTAAAGCTTTTCCCTGTGTCTGGGTTACAGGTTCGGTTGTGCAATCCCTGGAAATGGAGCTACAAACCAAATCAGTTGGTTATAGCTGGTTGAGAGGAAATGATTTTTAGTCAAAGAGTTCCTCCTGATCACCACTTTGTGACTAGACCATGGATGAGTAGGGCTTTCCTAGGAGATAAGATGTCCAAAGAAGCCCCCTCATCACTACCAACAGCATTCTCCATTTTTGTTTTCTTCTCCAAGATGCTCAGTTAAAAGATGGGGTTCTGTTCCAATCACTTAGGCAAGAAAATCATTCCCCAGAATCAAGCTCCTTGTTTTGGCTTTAGCTCTAGATGAGAGGGGAGATTTTTCTAACGGGTTTTCCTGGAACCTGCTTTTAACTTGTATGAGAAAACCTTTACTGGTTTGTTTTCTTGCATAGTGTAAGGCACTGATAGCAGAAACTGATAATCTAGGCATTAACGGCTGGGAACCACATGACTTGCTTACTCAGCTCTCTACACAACTGTGCTATTTGTTGTTCATGAACCTACCTTTGGTTTAAGACAGGTTATGGCTGATAGTCATGGCAGTTATGAGTTAGAAAAGAAATTTGTCCATTAAACAACAGCAACAACAACAAAGACCATGAAAACCAAACTTAATAACAAAACAAAAAACCTAAGCCCCATCTCCTTGGATATTAAATAGTAACATATTTAAGATATTTTAGATCAAAACTAGTTTGATTTAGTTGGACAGTTAAAGCTTGCTTGAGATTTTGACATCTAAATTCATCAGGCATTTGCCAGTGATCATTTTGGGCTGGGGAAATTGGTTTTGAATAATTTGAACAATGTGATGTAACTGAAAAGACATATGTTTGAAAAAGTTCAGCCACTTAGGATATTGAACTCTGAATTGATTAGTCAGCATTTCAGAAACAGTATAATGTACTGAGGTCATAAAACATTTTTCTCAGGCCCTGTATTTAAATTAATGACTGTGTATTCAAGGCAGTTGAAAGAAAAATATTTTATTTAATCTATTCTTTGGTATCATGGTAATAAAAAAGAGGCTATGTGATTGAACTAAACCTTCCTTTTTTCTTTTTCATAGATATAAACATGCAGGGTGGTTGCCATATGTATCCTAGTCTATTTTATATTTAACTTAAACCCAAATTTAAAGTTGTGTGAACTTTAAAACAAGATTTAAATTTTGGGCCAGATTTAAATTAAGAGTTTAATTGTTTGCCCTTTGACAATAGTCTGTCTTCTTGTTCTATGAATATAATTAAATTTTAATACATGTTTCAAGTATATTTGTTTGGATACTTAATCTTACTTTTGGACTTTCTCTTTTTTTATGAGCATTAGTAAGACATTAAGATTATATGCAGGTTAAAAGTAAAAAACCAACAATTGTTATCCCCTAGGAAAACCCTAATTTAAACAACCAACAATTGTATCTTTCCTGATCAGTCTTTCTTAATTTATAAACTTGGATATCATCTCTTTGAGATTCAGATGGAAATTCCTACTGGTATCATACTAATTACAACATCTATAATCAATGTCACTCAGAATTTTAGTACTCTCTACTAGTATTGCATTTAACTTAAACCCTGAAAATTTGCTCTACCTGATTGCTCTGATCATGCTAACTTTCTTGCTTTAGATTCTTCCAAGCTGCAGAACATTTGTGAATTGCAAGGGGGTATGTGTGCTAGTCTGTTTAACCAAGGGGTGGGTGTATAAGGATCAAGCAACTTCCTGGGGAATTTGGGCCAGAGTGTCTTGGAAAATGTCTTCTCTACATCTAACTACTTCTACTACTAGTGTGATTCTCTTAGATTTCTTGGGCTTTTTGGGTTGCTGTAGATATTTCACAATCCATGGGGACTATAGTTTTAATATTTATAAATTTTTAAAACAAAAGTGATAATATCTACTTTAGTGACTCAATGTCTTCACTCTAGCCCACTTTATACATCATATTACTCCATCTCTTAATTATAAATTAACTTTCTACTTACAATTTGAAATGCAAACTGCATGGCAACCCCATTCCCAGGACTCAAATTATCTATAGATATCAACTTACAAGGTTCAATGAAGAGTTTGATGCCAGCTCCAAAAAACATCTTTCAGGGTCCCAGGAGCACACTGTGACACTGCCTTTCAGGTGACCTGCCTGGGGCTGACCCTGGGTCCCGGGCTTGAACACTTGTGCATCTGTGCCTGCCTCTCCTGCCTGCTGTCTTGCTGAGTGTCTCTGCAGCTCAGAGAACTACAAAGTTGCTATTGATGAGACCAAGTGACCAAGAACACAGAGTCTCAGTTCCCTTTGAGACTAATAATAGTTGAATGGTTGGATAGGAAAATGAGTATAAATTTCCCATCCAAAAGATGTAGGGACAGAGTTGAAACAGGGCAGAAGAGGATTACAGGTGATTGATATGGGTACCTTCACGATGCAAAACTCAACTCTAATTTATTTTGAGGGCTCTCTAAGAAGAAAACAGCTCGATGTAGGAATGGAACGCTGTATTGACATTTCTTATAATGAATGCTAGGCCAAGGAGAGGAGGTATTAGAAGCAGGTCCTGCTCTCATACTCTGGTTCCCTTCTCTTGGGTCTCAAATGCTGATTTTCATTAGAAACCTAATTTTCCCCATCACTCAGTGAATCTCATAGTAATAATGAATCTCCTTGCTAATTCCCTGATCCCACTGAAAGGCTTTCAAGACCTGAGAGTTGAATAAAAATTGGTTGCCTTTGGGGGATCCCATTGGTGCTGTGAATTGTGGATGCAGGTCGGAGAAGCCAGTTTTTGCTTTGGATTGCTCATTTTTGTTTTATAATTTCTACTGACTTCTGGGTCTAGATACAAGTCTTGGGAGTGTACAGTAATCATGTAAAATAGAACTTAAAGACCATATGGATTAGTCTATCTGTTCACCAAAACTCAAGAGTCTAGGGGTAGAATCAGGCAGAAGAATGACAGTTGTGCAGGGTCATTATTTCTTGTCAAAACTTTTGGGACTGGGGACATGGTTTGAAATTCTCATTTCCTCTACCTGAGCGTCATGTCATTATATTTCACGCCATCACTGCAAGAGGAGAAAACCAGAGAAACAAATGGAGTGTCAGTAGAAAGTGTGGTCTGTGTCCCTGCAGAGAGGCTAAGCATTGGTTTCATTTTTTTCCCTCAAGACTCACAAAAGCATGAGCTCCAGGATTTGATTCTAGCATTGCACACAATTTAGAATTTCAGGTGGAAGTGACTTAAAGGGAAAGTGAAACAATCCTTTTTACCCATGTGCAATTTGCTGAACCTCTATCAGACTGCAATCAACTACAACATGGTTCCCTCCATCTTTTCATTACTCTAGTCTCTCTCCTTTCAAAGATAAGAAAATCCACCAAATCCTACTATTTTACTGGAAGCAATAGGCAATAAAGAAACCCTGCAAGTTTATACATCCTCTGAGCAACAGAGACCATGTTGACATCACCACTTGCTTTTAGGATTGTCAAGCAGCCTCATCACATTCGTGTACATGTTCCCACTTATTTATTTCCTGTGAAATAAACAAAATCGATGCCTAACCATATGAAAGGCAATGCATGCCTCATCAGACTCAGCATTTTGGGAAGTATGGGAAAGATTATTGTTTTCTGGCCTGGGGTTAGTGTTTGACTGTTGGCAGCCAAATTACCTGAATGTGGCCCAGACATTAGAATGGGCCAGTGGAAAAGAGACAGTCACTTCCATGAAAGCACCATTATTTCTGTATTGTTTGGGAGTTGGTGGCTGTCTTTCTACATTGGTTGTGGATTTCTGAGCCCTCATTCAGACTACTGAT